AACTGGTTCCCTCTGTTACTCAAGACGTCTTTTGGAAAAACCTACTCTACACAACACTTACAGGAGGGCTTCTGCTACTCTCTCTGTCTCTATCTTCAGCAATGCTATGGCTTCTGACTAATGTGTTGCCCTTGTCAAATACAGGTGTTAGTGATCCAATCAACTCCACAACTACTTTACTGGACAGCTCTTCTATGAGAAGCATCTCACCCAGTGGCACCTTAGTTACATTCTCTTTAGGTATTGTTCTTTGGCAGATGTCACATGATCTGCAGCATCTGGTCACATCACCGATGACCCCTGGTGAATGGAAGTTGATGGTGATTCTTTTTGTCATCTTGTTTCCTCCTAGATGTCCTCCCACAATCGACTCGTGAGCTAGCTTCATCACTTGAGTCCAGTATTCTGTTCGTACTATGTTTAATTTCAGGTGTAGAACTACCTTGATAGATTCAGTACAGCACTCCCTTCTGATCCTCTAGTCGGTAGGTTATTCTTCCCTTTTGTCTTTCTTCTGTGGTTCCTTCAGTTCCCGTAGACCTACATTCGGGATGTACTTTTCGAGACTTGATGTCTTGCTTGCTCTTCTTGTCCCGAGCTCTTGTGGTGAGAGCAGATGCTTCATCAGTCTTCTTTCTGTCTGATTCATCCAAACTTCTACTGCCTAGTATATTTCCAATCATAAGGTCATAAATGGGCCTCAGTCTCCCACGTGGTATGGAATGTCCACCTTCATTCTTGCTATGGGAAATTTTCTCACTGTCCCATCAATCAGCACACACAGATGTACCTTGCCCATCATCTGGTCATTAGATACTAAACTGATTCTCACTGCTGCACCCAGTGTCTCATAGGACCTTCACTTTCTTGTCCCCAACATAGCCTTCACTTATTGGCATGTTGTGGTTTGTTGGCACCTCTCGATGTTTGTCACATGCTTCAATCACCACTGGCACTGTTGATCCATTTGTTAACTTGAGCTGACCATCAGTCGTGCACTGTTTAATCATGGAGATAGCACTTCCTTCTTGTGGTGAATCTGACGTATTGTCTCTATTTTGTTTCTTCTGGCAGCAGTATCCATGGTGATTATCACTCTTCTGTTGTTTCTTGCTAACACCATCTTATGAGTAGTTCCAGCTGCTTTATTATAAGATTTCTACTGCTGCTTGTTGGTGACAGACTTGTACTTTCTCGCAATTTGTCTCACTTTATAATAAGCATAACATCTCTTCTCCCTTTCATCTGTTAATCCTGGTGATATACTGTTTCTTGTCAGCCACTGGTTTTCATTTATAACTGGATATTTTTGGAGTTGCCAGTTATACTCTCCATGGGCTTCCATAGCATTCTGCCAGTTTGATCATCTCGTCCACGTGTTTTGCTGCTTTCTCTTTTAGGAACAGTGACATGTCAGTTGAGCATGTGATCATGAACTGTTCACATATTAGTATATCTGCCAGTCCTTCAAAACTGTTCAGCAAAGTATGACCATATCTTCCATCAGTTCACAAAGCAAACATTTTGATCGTTCTGTACTGGACATCATCAGTATTTGCAATGCCATATACTCCATGGGCAGACCTGGATAGCCCTGCACATTCATTGAAAACACGTGTGGTTGCATCACGGTGCCAGGATGTGTGAGTAGCTGAATAATCTTTGGTAAGTCGATCGTGACATGGTCAAGATGCTACTGTAGTTCAGTCCATTTGAGGTGTAACCACAATAGCTATTACTCCATGTTTTTTCCTCTTCAAAAACTGGCCTGAAATTACTATTTCCTGCAGGGTTGCAACAGAAACTGTCCGAGTTAAATTGAGGATGTCTCTCTCTCTTAACCAGATTTTGACTCATGGATGCACTGAAAAATTTCTTAATTAATATGTCTTCCTCATCAGTGGAGGCCACTGCAGGGTATGCTTTCTAGTGCAATTGCTGCATATCATCCACATAAGCAGCTAGTCCTTGGTGCTAGCCTTCTTACTTATCACCATTAAATTCGTCCTAGTGGATGGCTTAATTCCTCACAATGTCGAATCAGTCATGCAACTTATAGAACAACTGTCCTCTTGTTGAACCTCATACAGATGTTCAATGGTATCGAGGGTGGGACAATCTAAGCTCAAGATTGGACAGCCTGTTCCCAAGTCCGTCCATTCCAGGCAGTTACCTACCAGAAGCATTTCAGGAAATGATCCAAGTCTTACTTTGCCATACCTCTTAACATTGGAAGTAAAATCTGTTTGACTTCACTCACGGGGAACTGTGGTGTTGGCAAAATACTCTCCTTCATGGGTTTCATGGACCCTTGAACCCATGTGTTGTCATGCCATGATCAACGGTGTGATGTACTCTCGGCTCAAAGATGCTCAGTTCACAGTCTTTACTTATGTGTGCCCCATGTATATATTGGTGGGGAAAAAGCTCTGAATGGGAGAGGTTCTCTACCAGCAGCACATTTAGTCCATCTTAGCTGATCATTCATGGTCTGAATCAGCGAAGGGGCTATGATACTCTGGCTGGCACTAGTCTGGTAGCCTTTTGAAGACCTCCCCAATTAGTCTTGGCTTCATCAGGTACTCAAGCATATTGATAATCTTCAGTTGTCCTCACTTCTCTTGTGCTGAGATTGGTTCTTTGAGTGAGGTTTGATTCAATGGTGCTTCCAGATACTGTCACATTTTTCTGAGTCTCCAGTTGTAGGAAAATTTACAAAAGATTACACCCACTGGGATATTCTATAGACAGGGAAGGTTAGAAAAGACAACATCCACTATGATATTCCACAGATAGGGAAGTTTAGAAAATATTATATCCATTATTATATTCTAAAGACAGGGAAGTTTAGAAAAGACTACACACACTAGGGTAGTCTATAGACAGGGAAGTTTACAAAAGAAAACATCCACTACGATATTCCACAGATAAGGAAGCTTACAAAAGACTAAATCCACTATGGTATTCTACAGACAGGGAAGTTTACAAAAGACTACACCCACTAGGATATTCTACAGACAGGGAAGTTTACAAAAGACTACACCCACTAGGATATTCTACAGACAGGGAAGTTTACAAAAGACTACACCCACTATGATAT